ATTAATTTAATTGATTTATTGTATTCCCTTTACTAATATAGAGTGTGAATGTAGTTTTAGTAGATAGAATCATATTAAAACTAAAAATAGGAATTCATTAGCTACAGATACATTAGATATGTTAATACATATCTCTTTAAAAGGACTAGAAAGTTCAAAATTTAATTATGATTATGCATATATTATTTGAAAAAATATAAGATGTACTGGTATTAATAAATAATCATGTTGAATTACTAATATGATTATTAAATAAAGAAATATTATTAAATATTAAATTACTATCATTTTATTATTTAAAAAACTATATAAATAAAATTTCTGGCATTTATAAAATTTGTCAGAAATCTGCTGTGCCATGTCTGAAAAAATTCTGAATTAAAAAAATTTTTTCAGATTTATTAAAGTTTAAATGATTTGTTTTTAAAATCATGTGATCATTAGCCAATTATAATTTGTATCTAAAGATCCAATCAAAAGTTCTGTTTAATTCTAGATTAGACTAGATCGATCAAAAAAATAAATAGCCAATCAGATCATTGTAAATAATAAATATGGTTAGTTACTGGCATGCATCACGTTAATTTATCAGAATCGATCAGAGACAAATACATCTATTCTCGTGAATCAGTTTGACTGATCACTAATCAATTTAATAACTAATTATTTAAAAGCATATTTTGCGATCAATCTGATTTGATCTAAAATTATGGAGAGACTTTCACATGATTAGCTGATTCTAATCAATTGATTGACACATTATTTATATAGTTTAAAGTACTTTTTTAGAATATAGTATTATCGTTAGTAAAAGTAAAAAAAAATTTCATTTTTAACTCTAAAAGAGCTCTAAAACTCACCTTATAAAATAATCAAAAAATAATCAAAATTCTTGAGATACTTTACTTAGAAGAAAAATATGCTTATTGTTAAACCATGTATTATTGATATTTGCTAGAAACAGTCAATCCAATGGAGAAAGGTAACTGAAAATATTTTTACTAAAAGTTAAACTAACAATATATTACCAAGTTATGTCTAAAAAGGTGATACTATTTGTATGAATTGTTATAATGGAATTATAGTAAACGTTTTGTCTGAATTTTAACAGCATACTCAAGATAATACAAATTGTGAAGCAGAGGAAATAATAGATAAGTATAATGAGGTTGAGAGTATTGATACTACTTTATCTTTTTCTCAAGTAATAACAAAAATAACCAGTATTTTATATAGGTAAAGAAAAGAAAAGAAGCTGACTATATACTCATTTGATGAATTTAAAATAATCATAAAAGAGGAGGATACAAGATTAAAATTTTTTTTTGATGAATTGTATCTTTTATCTAATTTACAAAATATAAAAATTCACAAATATGAGTAAAAAATATAGCTTTTATTTATATGCTATTTTTTTTATGAAATTAAAATAAGTTTGTTAATAATGCAAAGAAAAATTATATAATATATTTAGATTTCACTAGTATTTCGAATACTTCTATTAATACTTTTACAAATTTAGATATACTACAATATCTTGTATAGTTATAAAATAAAAACTGCTGTATCTGAAAAATATACTGAAACTGTTAATTTTGTACTTACTAAATATACAAATAAAATAATGATATTAAATATTAATAATTATTATAATATTTATATCAAATAAATATCTAATATAATTATCACATATACTACTACATATCTAGCAATAATCTTATTACTGTTAACGTGCAATCTTTTCAGGTTGCAACTGTTAGACGCAGTATCAGAGGGTTGACTCTTTTATAGTTCACGTAATAATTCCAGTTAGTTTATGATAATCTCAGCTAATTTACTACCAGTTTAAGGTTTAAATTAGTTTATTAGACACGAGCGGCTGCAGTCACGAGTTACGAGTTTCACAGTATATTGGAGAAGAGTTTCAAATACAAGGTAAGAAATAAGAAATACTTTATTGAGATGAAAAGAAAATAATAAGATAATGATATATGAGAGAAATAAGAAAAAGAAATAAGAAACAGAGGTATACAAGGTGAAGAGTAGCGTTGCGTTATCTTTTACAAATGAAAAGTTCTATACAGCCGTCGGTTCTATCTTTCTGAATAACAAAAAAAAGGTTGTATTTATATCTATTCTATTACATATCTTGATATATCTAATATATTAACTATGTTAACTATATCAACTATATTAACTATATTAACTATGTTAGACATATCTGATATGTTAGACATATTAGCTATATTAAACATATTAAATATATTTGACATTATCGACATTTGTACTTCACCACATAATTGTTAATCTATGATCGTCAAGATTGACACCTGATCACATTACTTTATAGAATGTATTCTAGAAGCATTTATATATAATCCTATATTAATTGATGCTAAATCAATCAAAATGAATTTAGAAAATAAATTTATAATTATCTGAAGTGTAAACATAAAATATTATAAGTTAGACCTAAAAGTATATATAATGTCTATCCCTTTACGTGATCTATCAAATAAGTATTATATTATAATTGATCAATTTGAATGTTTCAGATGCTTTAACAGTTCTAGAGTTTTAGACAAGTTGAGTTAATTCGCAAGTCAGATAAGCTGAGTCAAGTTTAAATCAAGTTGAATTTATATTTTTTTAATTTGATAATTTGTGAGTTATGTTAAATTTAAGTCAAGTTAAATATTTAACTCAACTCGATTTAAACTTAAATTAACTCAAGTTGACTTGAAATCGATTCTTAATTTTTATTTATTTTTTTTCCCTTCCCTTACCTCTGATCTTTTCTTATTATTTTTTTATTTATTATTTTTTTAATTTATTATATTTATTATTGTTTTTTTAATTAATTTTTTTATTATTTTTTTAATTTTTTTTAATTTCATTTTTTTATTTATTTTTTTTTCAATTTTCAATTTTTTTCTTCTTTCCTTCTTCTCTTCAATCTTTTCATTTCTTAATTTAATTTTTTTTGTTTTTTCAATTTTATTTTTAATTTAATTTTTATTTTTTTCGATTTTGCTTTTTTATTTTTTTTAATTTTTTTCATTTTTATTTTTCCTTTTCCTTTTTTCTCCTCTTTTTCTCTTCTCTTTTTCCCTTTTCTTTCCTAATCTTTTTATTTTTTAATTTAATTTTTAATTTTTTTTGATTCATTTTTAATTTAATTTTTTTATATTTTTGTTTTTTCAATTTTGTTTTTTATTTATTTTTATTTTTTCTTTTCCTTTTTCTCTAATTTTTCACTTTTTAATTTAATTTTAATTTTTTTCAATTTCGCTTTTTAATTTATTTTTTTTATTATTTTTTATTTAATTTACTTTTTTTTAAGAGCAAATCTTTCATTTTCATAAATAAGGGTGAATATAAATTTTTTTATAATAAATATTTGTAAATTAATTTAAAATTAACTCAAAACTTGATTTAAACTTGACTCAACTTGAATAAATTCAAGTCAAAATCAAGTTGAGTTAAAATCAAGTTGAGTCAAATTGAGTCAAGTTTAAAATTTATATAACTTAAATTAAGTCAAATTAAAAGATTTTATAAAATAAATTTGACTTGACTCAATTCAAAAAAAATGAGTCAAATAGAATTGATCTTTAAACTCAACTCAACTTGGCTTATTCAGAACTCCTATTATCTAATACTTTATAGATTTTTACATAATTAGTATTAGAATTTTATACAGTTGATTATAATACAAAATTGAAAAAATTAACAGTACATATTTATGATAATAGGTTAAAAGAAAAATGTATTGTTTATTTTATAGAAGATATTATTCTTATAGATTTACAAAAAAATAAACTTCATTTTTTAAATGCATATATTAAAGCTATTAAGACTATTATAAATATTCTATCTATAAAATAATACATTTAAAAGAATAAGTTATTTATTATTTCTGATTGATCAGGTCAAATTTATTTTAGAATAGCTATTTCTTATTATTTACTTTATAATTCTTCTTCAAATATTACTAACTATTTTATCTTTTATTTTTATTATAGGTCCTTTACATATTTCATTAAATAGGTAAAAATTAGTATTTCTTCAATATCAGCTATTTTTTTCAGCTATGTATAAAGATGTATTTGAAAAATAAAAGCTTTTTACACAAAAGTCTAAACTATAGGTATTAATTTATTTTTAAAAATTTTTTATAGTATTTAGCAGAAAATTTCTAAAATAATAGAAGAAAAATTTAGAATTTATGCAAGAATGCTAAATATCTTACATTCAAGGATCTTCTTGATAATATAATTCTTCTGATTTTAGATATGTATGCTATTTTTTCTGATTTGATAATTTTAATGCTTATTTAGAATCCTGTTTTCATGTTTGAATAATATTTTTAGATTTCAATGCAAAAACTATATTAAAGTACCATTAATATTCGTTTTTGATATCTTTTATTAGAAGTCAAATAACCATTCAATTTTAGAGACTATCAAAGCTGAATTTCCAAAATTTTCAGATGTAACTGTTGAGATTTTTTATAGTTTTTTTTATATAGAAATACATAGAAACATATAGAGGTAAAACAAATTATTAAATATAAATGTTATATTATTAGATGATAATAGTTTTAGAGAAAACTTTGCATACACATCAACATAGGTAGTATATAGGCACTTTGCAGTAGAAAGGGAGGAAATTATCAAAAAAAATTTTTTTACTTACTAAGCTAAATATTATTTTTTTAGTAAAATAAATCCAGATTTAACATTAACTCAAAAAAATTTTTTTGGTAATTTCCTCCCTTTCTACTGCAAAGCGTCCATATGAGTATTTTGCATGGGAGATTACAATTTTAACCAAAAAAGTGCTTACTTTTTGTTACAATGTTTTACAAATATTTATTTATATTTTTTAATGATAAAATACCGTTAACATTTCCATTACAGACTGTCACTACGAATTTTTCAAGAAAAAAAAGGAAGAAATCTAATGATGATACTTTTTATTATCTAGCTGCAATGAAAATGCCAGAAGCAAAATTATGTCATCTTCCTTTAGGTTTTAATACTTTGCATAAGTCAAATCCATTTCATTATTATGCTATGACTGATTGTTCTATTTCTTCATCTATTAATACAGGTCTGAATGTAGTTTTAGCTTACGGTCATATATATCATAAAGTTTGTTATGATAATACTAGATTTAAGTGTTTATATTGTCTCTCATTTTTACAAGATGGTATTGATGAACATGTCTGAAATGATTGCAACAATTCAATGAAATACAAGTTGAAAGGGATAATGATTATATTCCTTGTGATAATAATGATGAAATGAACCAGTAGGATGTATGACATTTACATTGGAAGAAGCCCTGCGAAAATTTCAATTACAACAATATTTAATTAGTAATTTGAATTAATTTAACTCTAATTTTTTGATTTTACATTAGTTAAAAAAATTAAAAATTATTCATGTTAAAAATAAAATTATGAAAACTGTAAAATAAATAAACTATAAAATTTAAAGGAATAAATTACAAATGTTATAATATTTATATAAATTATCTATTTTACTATCGAAATTATTAAAAATGAAATTATTTTCGAAATAATCGTCGAATGGCGCAGTTAAAATAGAACACGGAAGTTTAATTTTAAAATCAATCAAACTTTGCTTAATATTAAAATAAACTAATTAACTTTATTTATTATTGATATTATTTTATTGTACAGTTTATAGTTTACTATATTATATACGTAGAATGATATTACGTGATACATATTTATAATTACAATATCGATTGTAAAATCTGTGTAACCATACCAGCCAATCAAATGAAAGTCTTCCTATGACTTCTCGTATAAAATGATTAAATCAGACGCGACGCGTATCTTTTAAATTTTGCGTGCTAAATTTTTCAGAAAAAGTAATTTTTCTACTATCTTGTTCTTCACATTATGTCGAAGGTAAATGAAAAAATTTTATTTAAGTTCACTATAGCGGTAAGTATTTACTCGTCTTTACAATATTAATTATAAAATAAAGTTTCATTGTTATGTCCTATGTTAGAATCTTAGGGAATACACAAACATGGGACAGTTTCTTTTACGAAAGGAACCAAAATGCATCGAAAGAAATGTCTCACGATGCTATTAGATCTTTTAATTAAGTACCTAGAACCAGGAACGAAGGAATTTCAGAAGGCTTACGCAATACAGAGGTCAGTATTCATAAATAATGGGGTGCTGCTCTTTATGCTGCTGGTATAGAGGAAGATGCGTCCAGGCGTACACTTCTATACGCTGCTGGTGTGGAAAAGTTTCATCCTGCGGCGTGCATTGATTAAGGTCCACTTATTAGGAATCAGCAATCGAATATTGACTCAACCGACTTTCCTTTGCTGTACTACTAGGAGCATCGTCATACTTTAATTGAAAGAAATACGAAGCAAAAGAAAATAATCTACCACCGCCAAAAAGCAACCATTATATATTTTCCTTTCTGTCTAGTCAAAGGGGAGCTGTATCTGCACGTTCCTTTCAAGTTAAAATTTTTTTGAGACGCAATCTACGCAATCTTTCGCTTATGATATATATGGATAAAATGCTTAACGGTTAGGAATTTTTGAGAATTAATCAACAAGATTGGTATTTTCATATTAATGATTCCAAGGATGCACAATAGAAATATTCGTGCTTTCAGAATTATTATTGGTGCATGTTTTGTATAATGATATTCATCGTTCACGTTTGAGAAGAAATCATCTTTGGGATGCAAATTGTAACCGAAGAGAGCGATTTAAAGCATTTCTTGCAGATTACCCAAAACATTAAGTGAAATCTATGATGCAAAATACATCTATTGATTTTAAATCACTTGCAGAAAAGATGATAGTTCTGACCAATTTCCAATAATTGATTATCAAGTTTGCTTGTTGTACTTTGAGGCGTTCATATGGAAATTATTCACATTACTGGGCGAGAACTTTACAAATTTTATTTGGAAGTATTAGATGTATTGGTTGTTGACGCAGAAGAATTCTTGAAATATTTCAATTGGAATCATCTGATTGTGAGTTTAATAAATATTTTGCTTTTGATTATATTATTTTATAATACTAACTCATAATTTATTAGGTAATCTTGTCACTAAAATGCCATTAATTTCGTCATCAAGAAATTTCAAAAAGTTCAAAACTTTTAAAACTTTTCAAAATGATCTGCTTGGTAAGTTGATAATTGTAACACGGGCGATTCATCTGCCAATAAAGGTATCGTTTTGTTAACTATGTATTCAATTGATTATTATCTTGGATTCTGAATATTATTCTCTCTACTTAAGGATTGGAATATTTACGTCTTTTGACGATTACAACTAGTTTTTAGATTTAGTGAAGTGTATAATCAAATGGCATGAGGAAACGGATTCTAAATTATTATTTGATCTTGAATATACTCATTTCCAAATTTAAGTTAAGAAACCATTGGTGACTTGAAAGATGCCATTAAGGTGAAAATACCCGTTGCAAAAGATCTCAAATCTGGAAAGTCGAAATGATGCAAGTTGGCCAACTTCTTACTTAATGACCGAGATGAACTCCTCGCAACAAAGAATATAAAGAATTACCTTTCCAAAGAGCCTACTGAGGAACATTTTCATATTATCATATCCTTACCAGAAACTGTCAGTATAACCCCTCGAGAGCAGGAACTCTTGGATCAATTCGCCGAGTTACAAAAGAGCCTAGTTTTTATATATGGTATGCTATTCGTTGTGATTTCGCAAATTGTTATAAACGTTAAACTAAAAGTACATTGAATAAATTTTATGTCAATTTATCCAACATAATGCAGAATTTGACGTTGTAGTTAATCCAAAACGAAAGGAATTTAAATGGTTGCAAATATAGAGCAGGTGACCCTTTGTAATCTTAAAGAAACTATCTTTGCCATATATAAGACCCAAGAATTTGAGGAAAAAGTACTTAGCTTCATATGCAATGGAAAAAATATTACAGAATTATTGATAATTGAAACAAATGATGCCGGATATTGGATTAATGTTGATAGTACAAATCCGTACTGCGAGCCATACCTTTTGATTTCCACCAGTGTAATAGTGAATTAAATTTACTGTCAACTTTAATATGTTGATTTTTCTCTTATATAATTTATTTTGCTTTAACTTATACAATCTGCCTTTTTATTGCAGGATTTTTTTCGTGGAAAAATCTAAAAGCAATCATCCAAAATCTTCGTAAGGGCTACCTTATGAGTTTCCGTTCAGCCCTTTATTTTTCAACGTCGTGGCGTTTCTTCTCAATGCGAAATGCTTCAGCTTCGCTATATTTTCTTATTCCATAGTAATTATACTTTTAATAACAATTATCTTCGAGGTATTTTTATGCATTCAATTTTTTACCATCAAAGAGATTATAAAGGTTGTAATATTTCGAGTATGAACCCTTCATATGTTAGACAAAATAATTTAGATAGTTAACAAACAAGATTTGCTAGAAAAAAATATTCTGTATATTTAAAGGGATCGAGTTCACGATAATGAACAGGTACAAAATTACTTTTAAAAATTAATTCGTTGACTTTTAAAGCTACTTTAACAAATTTTCTAACGAAAAATATCACTTTTGTTCCAGGCAATACTGATATCTATTAACAAGAGCTCAAGAGACGTCAGCGATTTTCAATGATGCTTATTGAGAGACTCAATGTGAATGGGTGTTAGCGCGCTTGATTTTTTTTACAGGTAATCTGGGTTTTTATAATTCGAAATTGATTTGATATTTTTAGTATTATTCATAATTCAAAATAATTTTTATTTCTTATGACTTCATATATTAAGTTGACTTAATGAAGAATTTCTGGACTGCATGAGCATTCTCTGAATGAATGTTAAGTGTAGTAAGAAATGTGGAAAATTTTTGGAATGTGGCCATACATATTTAAATGAATGTTTTGAATGTCAAAACCTTCGACGCCACAAGATAAACCTGAAGACGAAGAGCAAATAAAAGAAATCATCCCTATTGAAAGGATAATGTAGGCAGTATATCTTAATGATGCGATTTGATATATTTTATCATTGTATCCATTAACACGAAAAAACCCAGAATACTAATTCACCACCGACTTCTGTTATGATAATCGGACATTCATTGATGGTGTAGCTACTAGGAGTTTGTTAGAATGCCAAATTACCAACCTGGATCTATAAACATCATTTTAACACTGGCAATATCACATGTTTTACACCTTTCCACTTTATTGGTAATTTATAGACATTAATGAGTTTTGGAGAAATTATTATTCTCAAAGCAACTTCTGGGAATTTTTTGCTTTATATTTATTGCTGGTATACTATTGTATGTTCAGATTCTGCTAAATAATTTCGCTTGCGTCTGCATCTTATAGTTTTATTGTTTTTAGTAGAAAAAATAACAGCATTTTAACAATTTTTATTTAATTGGTTCAGTTGATTTAAAATAGAAATAAAAGCTTTTTTTTTTTAGAATCCATTTATTATTATGGGGAATCTTAACCTGCACCAGGAGGTCTAGGATTTTAACCTGGACCTTCCAAATTTGATTGGTTCATCATGATCCCAGCCACATTAATTAATTATTTGTTTACTGTTTACCATTACGCACGATAATAAATCTCTCTTTCACATCTTTTTCATGTTTTTTTAAGCTTTTGTTCATTAATAAAGCTAAAATATTTTTTCAACAGCAGTTCATA